CTACTACTACTCCTACTCTTACTGCTACCACTGCTACTACTACTACTACTACTACTACTACTCCTACTCCTACTCCTACTCCTACTACCACTGCTACTACTACCACTACTACTACGACTATGACAATTACGACTCCGACTACTACGGCTAGGAAGACGACGACGAAAACGAAAGCGCAAGCTGTCAGAGAGCCGTCGGCCCACCACCACCGCACCAGCACTCCCACCTGACACACCAGATGGCTCAGGCTCACAACCGGCACGGCCCCATGTTGCGTGACTGGTAGCAGGACAGGGTTGCCAATTCAGGGGACAAGGCGTCACGGCATTTCACGATGTGCGACAACTTCCGCTGGCCCTGCTCTGTTCGTGTAAAGATAACAATCCGGATGAGAAGACTGATGAAGCGGCAACGTGACGAAAACAGGCCGAGCAATATCACAAAGACGTCCGGGCCAACCTACGGAAGATTTCCTCGCATCATTTCATGCAGCTGGAGACAACTTCATACCAATATCGTCGTCAAATCAGCATCATCACTTCATGCCATCCAAACCATCTGCCTTCGCCATGCTGTCGGGAATGATAAACAGACAGGGACAGAGAGCATGAAGTTGGAGACTGGTTTGCCTTGGCAGCGCACGTTTTTGCTCTTGGCCCCACAACAGTTGTGAGGGTCGCTCCCGTGGCTTTTGCTATATCTTGGCAAAAAAAGGCAGGGAGGAATCGCGAGGGACGCTGTAGCATACAATGCTTCAGTTACGAGTTGTTTCTGCTTTTGTATTTTGGTGCCAGCCTCAGTGTGCATTGCAAATGCATGACATGTGACCCGGGAGTGGAGAGTTTGAGGGATCAGCCAAAGGCTTGCAATTGAGCACGCGCCGAACATTGGGGATGGAAAGAGGACGCTGGGTATAGTGGAGTCGGGGTGACGCAGACGGCAATCCAGTGCGAAGCATGTTGTGGGGCGGGCGCGCTGAAAGCCTCGCGGGTGTAACACATTACTCGAGCGCAGGGAAAGAAAGCAGAAAGCAAGAGAGACACCAAACGCAAGAAGGAAACGGGGGATTAACGCGACGGAGGAGGGAGGGAGGCCCCGGTTCCTTTGCTCGCAGGGCGTGCTCCCCTTCCGGCAGAAGCCTCATCGGTACAACTCGGCGGTGGACTCCCTTTCGAGCCCAGAGGTCTACGTCACACAGATGGTGGGTGCCGCCCATCCGGCCTATCTCATCACCTTCGCATGAGCTCAGCATGACGCGCACATCACAGAGGCCGGCTTAGACTCAGCCGACTGTATGCCTTAGCTGGCCATTGTAGATATATATAACGTGACTGCGGCGGCGGGCATCTGCCCAGCTGCCGACAGCCACTGGAATGGTCACAGGATGCAAGTGCGGCATTTTTCATTTACTGACATAGGAGTCCCCAGAGAGGAATCGCCTCGAAGATCCAATGAGAGCTAGTCAGCTCAAGGCTAGCAGCACTCCAGGGTTCCTCTCGGGTCTCTCGCACAGATCGAAACTTCGAGATTTTTGCGGCCACTCGTCCACCGAAGGGTGGCGGCTTCCACCTGAGAGGCTTGAGGTGGCACGCACCGGGACCCCAAAGCCCAAAGCCCGCTAAGCCATAAACTTCTCAAAGACTCGAACCCCCACCAAGCAGGGCTCTCGTGACTCATCCGTGTCATGCAGGGAGGCTTCTCACCTCTGCCGCGACCCGATCCAAGATCCGTGTCGCTGGTAGACAGTAGGCAGGTTCTCGAAAGCCCGGAGCGCGCACAGGTCCATCTACGATCAGGATCAATTTCGAGAACCTGCACGTAGGTTAGCTGACAGCACCAAAGCATTCAACCACAGCGCCGAGAAATAAGACCGTGATCTCAGATGCGATGCACTCGATGCAGCTTGCTTTCCGGATGTTCCTGAGATTTCTCCGTGAAGTCCGATGCGTATGGCTCGTGTGCTCCTGTAGCTTGTCAACATGTTTCTGTGTTCGAATGATGCGGAGTCGTATTGGGGCTGGATATTCTTCCAGAATTTGCCTAGTTCGAATGAACCTCTTGCGCGGCAGCCCAGTCGGTTGACAATCCCATGAAAACTGGGTCTGTTACTCATCTGCATCAGAGCCAGCCGAGGCCCTGACGACAGAGGCAGAAGTCCTTTGGTATGCGGAGCAGGTGCACAAGAAGGCTGGGCATGAAAACAGCTGCATATACGCATGCTTCGTCACATCGTGCTTTCTGCTGGCATGGCAACATATGGCAACAAGCTATGGCGGAAGCGAAGCGGTACTCAGGAAGATTTGCTTCCTCTTTGTGCATCTGTGTCGGCGGTCTTGTTGAACTTCTGCTTATGTAATGCTCGTCTCTTTGTCTCTCTAGGTCTCGGGGCTTTGACCGGAATCGATCGCTTCTGGGGAAAGTGTCTTCAACAGCAGCTGCGGCTGCTCCCCGAGTGCATACGGGGGCGACCCCATATGAGTTTCAAGTTTCAAGGTTTCGGCAGGTGAAGACACAAACGTAGCGAAACGCTCGGCAAGGTCAGAAGTGCACTAGATCTTTCAACCATGATGCACTTCGCCACAATCGCAGGTGTACTGAGACTGATGCTGCTTGACTTTCGCTTCACGGCTCCAGCCCACAGCTTGCAGGCCAGGTGGCAGAAGAAAACAGTGGTTGGTTTCGTGCGTGCCGGTGTCCTCAGCTTTCCTACTGAACCATGCTCCGTCGAAGCGCAAAGTCTCCGGATCTCCAAGGAAATGTGGGAAGCAGTGTCTTGCTGCTGCCCTTCCGCCCCATTTGCGGAAGAAGAACTTCGCATTTGAGGGTGGGAAGCCTACAAAGACAGTCGTGGCCCTTCATTGTGTTCAGCCGTTGGGCGAGCAGCCTGCCCTCGACTCTGTTTGACGCGAGGTCTTCATGATCCTGTCGTCGATCCTCATGGCTGCCATGCGCTCGGTGGATGCAGCAACGCAGAGTCAGACGGAGAGGAGGGGAGGGCAGCGTGTGACGGAGCGAGCCGCGGCAGGCTGCAGACAGCACAGTCCCGGACAGCATGGAGGCCTTTCTGTCTTGCCCGGCCTCTTGCCACCCTGTCCGTGGCCCATGTTTCTGTGCATCGATGCTTCGGCAGGACACGGAAGTGGATCCTGCGAGCAAGCGATCCCGGACGAGCTCTACGACAAGTGCCACAACGCCGACCAGAAGGAGGCGGGAGCGGGAGAGCCGAAGCAGACAGGAGAGCGGAGAACGTTTCGGCGGCTTTGATGCTTTGCTTCAGGCCGAGAGCTCGGAGGCTGCGAGCCAAGCCGCCATGGTGGCCACACAGCTCGGCAAGACTCGGGTCCTCTCTCCGAACCGCCACGTCTGCAGGAAGTGCGCCTATATCACTGCTGAGACCCCGAAAGCCACGGTGATCCAGGTGGTATCGCATCAAACTTGGGCAAGTTTGAGCTGCCCATATGGAAGACAACGGCAGACTCGGCTGTAGTGAAGCTCCGATGTGAGAGCGAAGCGAGTGACGAGGGCCTAAGGCTTGGCCTTGTGAGCCTCAGCAGCGTCCTGGGCGCCTTCGAGCGATTGGACGATCAGAGAGTGTCCCGGAGCTTGAAACGCAAGCGATATGCCGCAGCTCTGTTGCTGCAGAGCATACCTGTGCTGAGCATCAACGTAGCTTTCGGAGTGCAGCTGTCTGTGGCATTTGGCCAAAAAAGCCTTCTCGTTGCCAGCAGTGCTTGCGACACTCCTGACCGCACACCTGGTTTTTTGCTGCGGGTCTGCTGAGTTCAAGAATTTGGCGTCGCGGTCTGCGTCCTAAACGGCATCATCGTAGCCTCAAAGCCAAAGCATACACTTCAGGCCTTGGCCGTTTCCAGGATGAACTCATCGATTTTTTTCATTGTCATGCGCTTTGCATTGCTTTGGATGGCCATCTTTGATGCGATTTGTTCCCTCAAGCTGCCTGGACTCAAGGCCATTGGCATCGTTGCGGTAATACTATTCTCCGTCAGCATCAGTTCTGACTCTTTAACTTCTCAGGAAGAAGGCATTGAGGTGACCACGGAAGGAGTCTTGTTGGAGCTGGGCTGTGCTTTGGCGGATGCCGGCTCCGACATCGCCTCTGATGTGATTGGGTCAAGCTTCACTACTGGGCTCCACGGAAAAGCACGTAATTGTGAGCTGAATCGGTATCTGCTGTTGCAACAGGCTTGCAGCATACATTGTTACTTGCTGGCTGCTGCATCCATCGGCGATCTTTTGATCCGATTCCGGGGCTTGATGCCACTGTCTTCCTTCTGGCATCATTGCCCCTGGTTCTAAAGATCCCCGTGTTTCAGTTTGCTATTTTCACAGCCGGTGCAGTGAAGGCGAACATGGCCGCATCCTTCGCGATGGGAGTTTCATATGTCTTCGAGGTCTGCTTCGGTTTGGCGAAGTTCAACATGAGCCGATTCTTTCGCAATGATGGCCTTTGCATGCGTCCTTCTGATGGATTCGCTACATGCTTCACACCTGGATGATGCATGTGCCACGCAGCACAGGACGACCTTGCAAAGAGTCCGACGAGAAATTGAGAGATCTTGTGACCCAACCTCATAGGTCCAAGACGGCATTGGGGACGGGAAGTGAACATCCTTTAGGACCTCAGGAATGCTTGCGAGACCTATCCAAGCTGAAGAATACTGCAGGCAAAGATCTGCGAGCGAGAGAGTAGCAGTTTCACGGCAAAACCTGCAATCAGGCAGCGCATACTATTACTACTACCATTACTTGTGCTTTGCCATTACCTTAGCTTGCCATGACCATTCCTGTTAGTAGTACTAGTAGTGTTACTGTGCAAGTACCATGGCTATCGCGATTGCCATTACCTGCCGGGCTCCAAGGACTCCAGGCTGCTCGTGCTGCACGAAGTCAAGCACGCACGAACGAAAGCACGCAAAGCACGCAAAGCACGCAAGCATGCCAGCAAGAACTGTTTTGTTGGTACGTTCACTAACCATGATGAAGCCGGAGCCGCCCACGCCTCCTCCTGAAGAAGAGCCCGAGCAGACCGTGCCGAAGCCTCAGGCTTGACCTGCCAAGCGATCCAGAGGGCTCGTTGTTTATGACTTAGAGCTGCCAGCCGCATGAGGATTGAGGCTGGATTTCAGGGCTTTATCAGAGTGGAGAAGTTTATGCCATATGTGAGGCGTCCCACCTCAGGATTTGAGTTCTTTTTGTCGGCATGGAGGCTTAGCAGCATAACAGACCCATTTGCGAAAAGTCCTGAAGTTTGGACATGTTCTTCGATTCTTGGACACTCAGAAATCTCTATCGTTTGGTGGTCCATCACTAGCACTCGTACGCAAACCTTTATAGCCTGCAGCGGGGGGGGAAGAAAAAATACAAATAAATTTTTAGTATTTATCTTTATTTTTTTGGGGAATGGTACCCACCCCAAGATATTGCTTTGGTTTTCATATCTACACAATCAATGAGATATCTTATAATTAGAAAGAGATAGATTATGTCTATATTTGCACAATAATATAGGAATACTAATCTTATATGAAGCATACAAAATAGGGCCTCCAGGGCGACGGTTTCTGCAAAAATAAATAAAATATTATTGAGATATTGATATAATTTGTATTAAGATATAGAGATTCTTTTATTATTTGATATTTCGTATATTTTAAAGATTTAAATATGAATATTTATTTACTTTGATTAAAGAACGAATATAAGTATATTTTCGATATATTTTATAGATATTAAATTTATTAGAATTATCTAAAGTTTGCTATAGTTGGTAATTTTTCATAAATAAATATGTCTTCGCACCTCAACTTTGTCATGACCTTGCAGACAAGAAAGACAGCAGAAACTTCGCAGATCGCTCTCTTTTGTTGGGCCTAAAGGAAGTGTCGCTGTAACCGACATGTGTGAGGATGCCCGGCACTCGGGCTGCATGACGGTTGATG